GGGCTTGAGGCTAATCCATCTCCCTGGGGGCACAGCCTTCCATCTGCAGCATCTCAGGCCAGCCGTCGTATTTATTCATCACCTTATCATTTTTGATGTGCTGCAGGAAAAGAGAGAGAGAGAGAGAAAATGAATGAGGAGATTGGTGACACAGTGCAAGTTTGCAGCGTGGCAAAATTGCGTGGGAGATAATACCGCTGGCCCACATCTTCTGCAGAGAGGTAGGTGAGATGTGGCTCAGGAGGTGCTATGAAGAGAGTGGGAGTCTCTGGAGCTGGTGGCAGGGGAGGGCCACGTACCTCTTCAAAGGGACTCTTGTTCCTCATCCCTTTTGCTCCCAAGAAGACCCAGTTGTCCCGGAAGCTCAGCTTGTTCACGTGGCTGCTGCCCAGCTCCACAAAAAGTGCCCGTACGTTGTCGTTCATCCTGAAAGAGGGAAAGAAGGTGTTATCTGCGTGTCCCCTCCTGTCCTCTCTCTGTGGCTGGCATCAGCACCTCCAGCTCCCCCCAGCTATGGGTTTTTTGGGAGCCAGGTATTGCTCCCGGGGCCAAACTCACTTTGTGGCAGCGTCATCGTAGCTGGCCACCAGCACAATGGTGCCATGCTTGATCTCTTCGAGGAAAGTCTTAATGTCTGGAAGAGAAGAGCGTTAGGAAAAGACAAAGGGATTTGGCAGGGACTGCTGGGTGGCAGCTGGGGGAGGAACCTGCTCTGAGTCTGTGGGAAGTATCCTGGCTGTGCTGGTGCTAGCCAGGATTTGGGGTCGCGGACCCGGGAAGGATGGGCTCCCAGATGCCGTATTCCCCTGTTCCCACCTGGCCTCCCGCAGTGCCCGGGGCTGGCACTTTCCTCCTGCCAACATGAAAACTGCAGGGGGGAATTTGTGTCTAAAGTTTGCTCTCGAACTTTGAAATCACGTAACTGAAATCTAGTTACTTGAATTTGCTTCCTAACACAAGAAATGAACCCACCCGGCCGCAGAACTGTCCGCCCTGCCATGCTGCCTTCGGCTCTATGGCAGGAATTATTCCTCGTCCCGCATCCGTGGGATGCTCGAGTCCAACGCCCCATCTAGTGGCAGAGGAGCCAACTGCCATCTCCTTCCCGGTGCCTCTCCCGCTCGCAAACAGCCTGAAATCTCATGATATAGATGTTTCTCCTTAAAACTCCAGGCTTACTAAGAACAGGCTGCAAAGCCAAAAGCAGAAGGGGTGATGGATCCCTGAAAAGAGCAAAGTGAAAATCGAAAGCACTATAGGGTGGTTTTAGCATGTGATTTTGAGGAGTCCTGCCTGCCAAAGCTCTGGAAAGGTTTGGTAATAGCTTTGCAACAATGATGGGATTTACAGCATCCTGCAAGTCAGTGCCAGCTGGGCTGTGAGCGGGTGCTGCCCCGGCTCAGGGCATCTTCTTACTGTTAGGAAGATTGTTTGAAGCCGTCGGGCACAAGGACATGATCTTTGCTGCCGTCAGACTCTCCTCTGTGTGCCCAGCCTCACTGGGGCTGGGGAACACATCTTGCTTGCCATGCCCTGTGCTCCTCATTTATTCTTCCGCAAAAGGCAGGGAAACAAGCTGCTGCTGAGCCACCACCAACATTCACAGAACTGAGTTTGAAAGTTTCAAAATCTCAGGATTAGTGTAACTATCGTATCTCAAAGTAACCTCTCTCAGGTCTCAGGTGCCCTGGTTTATTCAGTTTAGTGGAATTATGTTTTTCAGGCTATTACATGCACGTAAAAGGAGCAAGAAGCCAATCTTGGATGAGGTGCATTATGAGGACTCCAGGCTCAACAGTCTCAGGGAATGCTGAGCTTTTACTGCCTGAGCTGGCAACCCTGGTCAAAGTCCATTAGACTTTATCATGAAATACACGGCAGAGGAGCAGCCTAAGTAGCTTTAGCTGGCAGCCAGCAGCACCCATGTGAGCCCTGGCTGCGAGCTACCAAGCAGCGAAGTGACCACGCTTACCTCCGGAGTACATGTCGAATGTGTCCACTTTCAGGAGCTGCCCATTCGTTCCTGAAAGGTTGACATTCAAAACAGAGCACAGTGAGTTTGCACTGGGGTGGCTCTAGGCTTTGCCTGGCCACCAGCTTGGGCTTCCTGCTGCAAAACACTTTGGTTTTCCCTCAGTGGGGCATATTTGCTGTGATGGCAAATGTGTTGCTTGACGGAGTTCATGGAGCCATCGTGCACACCCCAGGTGGGTTTGTCCTCCTCTCTCTGGCAGTGCTTGCAACCGTAATTGTGGCTGTGCACTTGATGCAAAACTGACGTGATGTGCTTTTGGCTCAGCCACCATGCCTGGGACCAGCTCCTTGGTGGCCTGTTCCCTCCCAGGGGCGGAAGGGACCTCGGCTGTGGGGAGGGGGTTAGTGCCCACCCAACTCACCGTTCACCAGAGCGATGTTCAGACCTCTGCCAACATTGTTTTTCACGCTGCTCATGTGGCTGGAAAGGAAAGGGGAGAGCACCAGTAAGTGCAGGGATGCCCTGGAGATGCTTGTGCCAGTGAAAATGTGACAGGGCAAAGTGGCTGCAGGCAGCAAAATATCCCCAGAAGCAATTGCAAAGAAAAGTATTTCCAAATTTTTTAACCACAAATGCACTGTGATGGCCATCGATGGGCTCAGCAGAGGCCAAACTCGCCCTATTCCAGCCACGGCTGCCTCCTCCCCACCATGCGCTGCTTACACCGTGTCATCGAAGCAGATGGAGGGTCCCACCACATTTGCGGCACCGCTGATGATCTTGAAGGCGAAATGGTTCTGGGCGCAGCTCTTCTGGTTCCCACACTTGTGCCGGGGCGGCTGCTCGCCTGTGAGGGAGGAGCGGAGCTGCGAGCCGTGGCCATGGACCCACGGGGGGACACTGGCCGTGTCCCCCAGGTGCCGAGCAGCTCTGGCACTGGCCACAGTGGTCCACTAAGGGGCAATGCCTGGACCAGCTTCTTGCACGAAGGAGGCTTGTCCTGGGACCGGGACCAGCTTCTTGTCCGAGGTTTATGGTGCCAAGGGGTGGTGTGAGATGAGCTGGCTGGGGTGCCACTCTGGGTATGAGCAGCGGGACGGCATGGCTGATGGCGGGGGTGGCAGGGGGGGGGGGGGTGGCACTGGGAGCTGGCACTCCCTCAAGGGCAGCCTCGAGGAAGGGGCTGTGACCGGCTTCCTGCTGCAGCTGGCAGCCCAGGGCTGTTTCTGCTGGGGCAGGGGATTGTGCGAAGTTTGTGTGCTTGCAGAGCGTGCCAAAGACGCTGCTGCTGTGTGCAATAATGAAATTCCCCTCTGTTTGGGCGGGTGGGATTTCGCCTTGGGAAAGGGGCTCTTCAGGGCAGCTACCACGCCTCCAGCATCACCCTTGGCGCTGGAGCGGTGTTGTGTGATGGAGATGAAGTTGAGAGCGGTACTCACTTCTGAGCTTGTTGGGGACACCTGTGGGTACCAAACAGGAGGGTTAGACACCCCGGAGAGCTGTGGGATCTTTCCTAAGCCAGGAGCAGCCATTCAGGCATCAGCTCTCCAAAACTGCTCCCTGTGGCTGTGAACACCCCTGAAGGCACCCACCCACCTGGTGCAGCTTCCCACCATGCTGTCCCCTCCTTGCCCTGCTGATCAGGTTGGCTATAGCCTTGGCCAGGGACTGCAAGTGCAGATGTTCATGGCAGCTATAGGCAGCTCTGGGGTCTGACTTGTAACAGGGCCGCCCGCGATCTCCCTCTGGACCCATCTGGAGCCCCACCGGCGCCTTACCGAGCCAGCTCCGCAGGCTGACGACTTTCCATCTATGATCAAAGTATGTCTGCACGATGAACCATGTGCCCAGCAGCGTGATGAGCAGCACCGCGTACCGGATCACACCTGCAAGAGGTGGGAGAGGAGCCAGGTGAGGGCAGCAGCAGTAGTGCAGGTCAGGGACTGGAGCATCCATCTGGTTTCCTGGGGACTCCGTTCGTGTGTCCCAAGGTTACCAGGCAGAGGGTGACAGCCAGCGCTTGTGTGGTGTGAGAAGGCATCTAACACACTTTCCTTCATCCTCTAAAAGGACTCTGATCTCTTAATTAATATCTCTAGAGCGTGTGGCAATGTGCAGATAGGCATTACGCTTCTACTGGGAGGCACTATTCATGCTTCTCTCTGCATTAAAGCAAATCTGATAATTAGTCAGAAAGCTATGTAAATCCAAATATTTCTTACGTTCCCAGCACTGGGAAGGCTGCTATCCCCCAATTAGTCACTAGCTACAGCTGAGCAGCTGCTAATACAAATGTGATTGGCATTTGACTTTAAAGCAGTGCTCATCGGAGCAAAACGTTCCAGTCCTGCATGGAAAGAGAGTAGAAAAATATACTTATATTGCAGCTGAATGGCTCTTATGGAACCAGGAACCTCTCAATAGCCATCTCTTCCCAGCTGCAGAGGGTTTCACTGGGAAAAATACAACAGGCTGCAATCGACACAAATCTTTTAAAAACCTGGTGCTTATACAAAGGTGCTTTCCCATGGCCCTGTCAGGGGAAGGTCAGGGTAGCAGGGCTTGGAAGGGGTCATGTAAATGAGAAAGAGGCACGAAGAACTGTAGAAAAAAGGACAGAGAAAAGTAAACCTCTGTTTCCCTCCTTACTTGTCACCCGCATCATGGTAGAGGGAGAGGCAGAACTGAGGCGGGGGCCAATGGTCACAGGTCACCCTGAGGAGAAGAAGGAAGTACAATGAAGCGTATCTGTAACCGACCCAAACCAGGCAGATATTAGGCGAAAAAATAATTACAATGTTTAGGCATATTTTCAATAGCTAAGAGGTCACCGAAGATGCATAAATTCCTATCAGGCATGCGTGCTCGGTCCCACCCTGGCATTGAAGTCTGACTCCTGTACGTTGGAGCAGGCTACACGGATTGAGCTTGCTTTGTTTAAAGGCTCTGGGCTCTTCCCTGTGACTGTCTGCTGCCCTGTGCGCTCCTGGTTCACGTCCCGTTTTCAGGAACGGTGCACGCTTCCCTATTCTGTTGGTGATGAGCTCAAGGAGAGCGTTTTCAATCACGGTTTTGCTGCACTTCCTTCTGGGATGATGCAAAGTAGGCTTCAACTATGAGGGGCTGGAAAATGCTGTCTGAGGACAAGCTGCGGTTTGACCTTGCCTGGCCAGGGGGAACTGCAGGAACAAGCTTGTCCTCCTTAAATCCAGAAAGGGAAGGGAAGAAGGGCAGCGCCACTGAGTTGGGCTGAGAAGCGCCAGATTTGGAGACGCCTGACTTAAGAACAGAAATGTTTCCCTTCGTCCAGACCCTGCAGCATCCTCACCCACACAAACAGGGAGTGGTTATAATTTGGAGTGTAAGCTATTTCCTACCCGAGCGAGTCTGTCCGCCCCCCTCCCTCCCGCTGCTGCCTTCCTCGACGAGTCGGGTGCCTGCCACCCCATGCGCTGGGCTCCCAGGGGTTGGGGACCCACTCCTACCTTCAAAATTCAGGGATGCAGCCTGGTCAACTTCCGTCCTGGAAACCACCCTGGAGTCCTAAGGCAAATTGTCACCTGTGAGAGGTGTGCTTGGCGTTAAAGAGCCTGGTGTTAACTAAAGCAGCCCTTTAGTGAGGTTTGGCGTAGAAAATTTGTAAAAGAGCTGTGCTGAGAGTTGCTTTTCCTGTTTGAAGGGTAAATAAGGAGCAACAGGTTGTAGCAGGGCTGGGCTGAAAGCTGATTTCAGGCTGTTGCGTCATGAGGAAGGAGAGAAGAACTTTACCTCCTGCCCAGCCCTGTGCTGGGTCCCCTCCCAGAGCCTGAGGTCGGGGAAAGTGCCTGTGACCATGTGATTGACTGTGGCCACGGTGCAGCATCCTCCCTTGGGCACCCTGGGCAGGATGGACCCGGCATCCCCCCTCAGCACCCTGGCGAGATGCTCCCCCTTGACTTCCCCTGCACCCTGGGCAGGATGGACCCGGCATCCCCCCTCAGCACCCTGGCGAGATGCTCCCCCTTGACTTCCCCTGCACCCTGGGCAGGATGGACCCGGCATCCCCCCTCAGCACCCTGGCGAGATGCTCCCCCTTGACTTCCCCTGCACCCTGGGGTCGATCACAGCATCACTGTAAGGGGCTTTTAGGCAGCCCGAAAACCGAGGGGGAACCCATCTGCATTGCAGGAGGAAAGCTGCTGCTTTCCTGCTCAGCCTGAGAGCACGGAGGGAAATTGCAGTGGGCCAGAGTGGCTGGTGCCTGGCTGGAGTGGCAGCCCCGCAGTGAGGTTTCAGCTGTCCGGAGCCCAGTACTGCTTCCCACAGAGCCTTTCCATGGCACCGGTGTCTGCCGTGAGGCTGTGGCAAGGACGAGCTGCTGAAGCTGCTCTGGCAGGAGCTAGCAGCTTCCCATGGGAGAACAGCCTCATGGCATATCTGCATTTTAAAGGAACCCTTGGAAGGTGTTTGTGTGCCCTGGTGTATCACAGCAGTGTGTTTTTGATAGTGTATCAGCGAAGCATGCTGGCATCCCAGCAGCATCTCACTTCTCTCTGCAGCTGTTCCTCCCAGGGGAAGGTGGTCATGAGCGAGAATTCCTGCAGGAGAAGGCATGGGGGTCCACAGCACCCACAGCCCTTCTCTGCACCACCTTGTCCCGGGCCAGCCCAGCCACAGACCTGAAAATGAATAGTTTAAAGATCTTGGAAGACAAATGCTTCCTGTGGCTGGATCTGATGGGACAGCACTGGGCTCTTGCCTTTTTCTCCTTCCAGCATAAAGTTTTGCTTTTTAAACGCTGGGAGCCTGTCCCACGCCTGGCTCCCCAGCCCAGTGCCTGATCTGGTGGTGGGTGTCATAGGGGCAGTCCTTAAAATTCCCCTTGGCCAGTCGCACAGTCTGCAAAATTGGAACTGATTTGCTTTTGGAGCTTGTTGAGTTCCCCTCCAAATGCCATGGTTTGGACACAGCGAGGGGAGCAAAACTCCCCTGGGTTTGCAAAACGTCCCTGTTTGGTCTCTGCTGCTGCAGGGGACACCAGCCTTGTTGGAGCCTGTTGCACAGTGCTCTCTTTTGCCAAATTTGTGTTTTTTCTATGCATATATTGATTTTGTTGCAGAGGGAGAGAAATGGAAAAATAAACCAATAAACAGTACTGCTTTAGGGAAGCCATGTATTTATTTGGGCTATTTATCTTCACCTTAATCCCAGGTAAAATTTATTAGGTGAAGTCCCTAGGTGCTGAGATGCCTGGAACGTAATTGCATTATAAGAGCGAAGCCCTGTCCTGGGATTTCTATTACATTGTCTTTTAATAGTTCAGATTTTTTTTAATTATTATTTTTTATTTTTTCGCGAAGGCAGTGCCAGAAAAAAAGGTGACTATACTCTGGATCTGCCAGAGAGCGACTTGCAGGAGAGGCAAGAAGGAAGGAACTGTGGTGGGTGATAAACAGAGTTATTTGTCTAATAAACCTGGAAGTTATTTGCTTAAAAACCATTCCAGGAACAAAAAGGTTCTCAGACAAATATTGCTAAAGAGCTTGGAGGTGTTTCAAGGCAAAGGTTGCACCCTGAGGCTGCCCAGGATTGAAGTGCTGCTTGGCAGCGCAGAGTTACTGCTGCCAAGAAGAAACTCAGGCAGATCCCTGCCCTTGCAGGAAGGTTTTCCAGGATGCGGCCGGTGAATGTTCCTGTTTCCTCCCAACGCTGCAGGAAAACTTTGTTTCTCTTCCCCAGAAACTTCTGCCTTTCCTGGGTTTGGTGTTGGGTTTTTTTTTTGCTGCTTTTGAGCCTCACAAGTTCCTCTCTCTCCCAGCAGGTCCCTGATCATGAACAAGCCATCATTTTGGTGTGGGATGGGGATGCGGCTCCAAAGAGGGTGGCTGCCAGACGTCAGCCCTGCCCACACCCAGTGAGTCACCCCTCCAAAAGTCAAGGTTTTCTTGCAAAACTGGACGAGAGGTGTGGAGGAGGGGTGGGGTGGGTACACATCTACCAAGTATCCAGGACTGGTCCCACCACAGGAGAATGAAGGATGCTACAATGCCGTTTTTAATCTCAAGAGGAGTCAATCTGACTGAGCTTTGCCGTGTTACTCGACAGCAGAGTGCTGTTTGCCAGAGGGCTTATAAATTCCCCAGCTCATAAAAATGCTTGGCTGGCTGCTGCGTCTGCCAAAGGGCTGGAGAGGGCATCTCATGGCGACACTGCCCCCAGCACCAGTCAATAGTTAACCGGGGCGAGGCCCTGATCCTGAAACGGAAGCCAAACAGGATGCCTGCGGTGGTGGGAAGGGGTGCAGGGCTGGGGCTGGCCGCCGTGGCCGTGCCCCATCTGGGAGCAGGACAGCAGCACAGGTGGGATGTGGCACCTGGGGTGCTGCTGAGGAAGCCGGGCCGTGGGGCCAGTGCAAAGGGCGCGGGCTGATTTCAGTGCTTGCCACAGGTGCATCCCTACCTGCTGCATGCCACGGGGCAGGCATGGCCCCATCCTGCACTCAGCTGCCTGTGGCTGCGAGAGGAGCATCACCCAGCCGTGACCACCACCGATTCTGACTTTTGCTCTTCTATTTGTCATTGGCGGCCACTTGTCTGGTTCCCTGTACATGTCACTGAGCCCAAAGCTAAACCACTATGAGCTCGCCTCTCTGGGGAGGTTTCCCCAAGCAGTGAATCAAGAGCTGCGGCAACGATGAGAGATGGAACAACCACATCTGCTCTGGCACAGGAACGGTGTCTGGCAGCTCGGTGGGGATCCCTGTGCTGTGGATTGCAGGTTGTACTGAAGCGGCATGTGCCAAAACGCCAAGGCAAAAGGAGGGACGCAAGTGTTGGTGCTCAGGGCTGGCAGTGGGCTGGCTGCTGGGAAGAGACACTTCTCAGGGCTGAAAGCTCAGGGTAAGCATGGGCCATGTGACAGACCCTCGCCTGGCCACGGTGAAGGGCTCTGGTTTTTAGTAGTTTAATGCAAGAAGA